GCTAAATGGTGATTCAACATAGATTCTACATCTTGGAACCAAGCCAATTTTGGGACTCTAGAGGAAAAGAAAATAAGTATTGAAGAAAGAAAAAGAGAGGTAGAAAGAGGCCCGTGCGTTGTCTAGTTTAGTTTAATTCCAAGAATGCACTTGCATGGGTGACAAAAGAAATGCAGAGACCTTGGCACAAATGGCAACTTTTCAACGAAATAGATGCAATCCACTTCTTGTTAGGTACAGTTCAATTTGCTCACACTCAACGGGAAGGCAATCATTTTGCTGACCCTTTAACTAAATATGGAATAGATAGGAGTCCTTTTTTCTCTGCTTGGTGGTGATGCTGCTAATGATGATGATGATATTAAGCTCTCAAGTCCTTTATATTTATGCTCGTTTACGTCTGCCATCCTTTTGTTCACATGGTCAGATTTCCGTTCTGCTTTTGAGACTTGCTCTCTGCCTTGTGGATATTTTGTTGATGCTATTGTGACTTGTCTATTTCTCTCGGCTGCTGTTGATAGGGGCTTTGTCTATCCAATTGTGAACTGGTTTTCCTTTTTCTTCTTGTTTCAGTTCATTGCTTATGTTAATTTGTGCTGGCCATTTGAATGGTGCCTTGGCTGGGCTGCCATTTCATCTTCTCCTTTGTAATTATCTTTCTACTATCAATGAAATCTTTTGATTGGCTGAGCAAAAAAAAAAAAAAGTCAAATCACTTAAATTTTTGTGTTTTTCTATATGTTTGATTTGTTCAGATTTTTTATTTTTCTTACTTATTGAATTTCAAATTTTGTAATTCTAAGAAATTATGTAAATAAAGTTTAGAATATATAATTATAAAAAATAATGAATAAAGCAAATAGTTTTACTAAAATGAAAAGAAAGAATTTGCTTGTAATTAGTTGAGGGCTAGGCTTTCATATAATATCGCCTATGATACTTAACTCAAAAAATTTGCAAAAAAAAAAACCCATAATTTAATCCTAAATTACTTTGATGAATATTTGACCAATATGCATGCTTATTTTAAGATTAAACTTATCAATCCATTCTATTATACCAATCAAAATTCCCAATTAATGACAATCCACATTTAAAGAAAATTTTGACAAGATATGCTTGTTTCAATACCATTGTAAATAAAAATAATAATGTCATGGCTGATGCAAAAATATGTGAAAGCAAATTCATGCATACTTTTGACTTGGACTTAGCTCAAGTGGTAAGCATGGAGTTGAAATTAAGATAGAGATCTTTAAGTTTGAAGTGATAACACTCTTTTTGTATATAAAAAAAAAACACTATTAATCTTGAATTCGAGTCATGATCCTCTCTTGTACGAAGCAAACAAAAATATCTATTTGTAGCAACAACCAAAACAGACAACAGGCTGTTCTTATATAGTGCCAAACATTTCATGGCATCAAGCCAGTGGCTCATGACTCTCCAATAGGTTTCCTTACATGAAACAAGAGAGACAGACAAATACTAAAAGGCTAGCCAGATTGATTCTAAAGCCAGGGATCGCAAGGAAAGTGTAGTTGATGTATAAGGGAGAATTAATCAAGGGTTCTCAGGAATCTTTCCCTGACAAATTAATAAAGTACAAACTCATTTTAGGGAGGCACTATCATTAACCATGCATGTTAGGGAGGCATCTGATACTTTGTTTGTAAAGAGAGAAATGGGATTTTCGTTGGAACAAGAAAAGATGAGGTGAATTTCCTGCAGAGTAGCTGGGGTTTATACGTTTCCCAGCCTATGGTTTAAGAATGTTAAGATCAAGCTCAATAAATAGTAATCACTATATATGTGGTACTTAAATCAAAGGGAGCTCAAAGTTTTCCTATAATTTTCCTGGAAAGTTCACCCAAAGGTCTGGACAGTTCGTTCTATTAAAATTGCAGGTTGGAAATCCATCATGCGAATGCCATATGGGGTGCCGAAGCCTTTGGATACACCTAACGAAGAAATGAGAGGTAAAGAACCCAATCTACCCTTAAACCATCTGTAACAGTTGATATGGTTTCCCTTTTCCTAATTGATTTAACTAGCCCAGGATGAATTACATATTGCCCAAAGTTGTTGATTTTTTGCTTCCATTGATCATTCTTTGCTTGCAACATGCATCACCTGCCTCATCATAATTAGAATGCTTTCCCCTCTTTTGGTTTTTTGAGGAACATAGGAATAACATGAAACTGAAAATGGGTATGAACATAACAGACTCAAAGCCTAAGAGAAAAAAAATTGATGCAGAACTGACATGATAAAAAGGCAATGGCTATGCAGTGTGAATTCTCTTTTCTTGAATATTTTGCGTTTTAAGTTTTTATATCTGAAGATTGTATTACCTCAACCAATGAAATAAATAATTGTGAAAAATCAAAACCAAAGAAGGGAAAAAGGAACCTCACACCTGCACAATCATGCAAGTATCACAAATACTTAAAAATATGAAATTGTTTACGTATATGAATAAAAATTGTAGTCACAATCAAATAAAAGATAAAGTCTAAATTCATATATAATTTTACCACTATACTTTCTAATTTTGTTCATAAATGATCAAAAGTTATTCTTTTATTTACTAACAGAAAATTTTTTTTACGGTTAATGTTTTATAATTTTTGAATTAAATTAAAAAATTACAATCATTAAAAAATAAATAATAAATTGAACCAATCACCTTAAGTAAAATGGTAAACTTGAACTTTATCTCATCAAACAATCTCAAGATGTATTACATTTAATAGAATAAACTAATTAACAAACCAGCAAAGTAACTAGTATGATAATCGGATAAAATCTAACATAAAATAGACAAATATACTATTAGATTTGAACTTGAAATCTAAAAATTTGTTGTGGAGATCATGCATGCTTGATCATCAAAAAATGTTTGAATTTTCTAATCCCCTTAGATTAATTAGCTTGAATAATCCATACTTTTTTTTTAAAATTTCTATGGTCTAATTAATTTGCAATTTCATATGATGAATTCGAAGGCTTGGAAACATGGCGAGAACTGCCGCCGACGCACTACATACTAAAAATCGAGTCCTTCACTTCCCTTGTGCGCATCCTCAAGAAAACTAGTCTTGACCATTATGAATCAAAAGAGTTCAAGGCTAGTGGCCACAATTGGTATATACACTTTGATCGTTTCCTGTCAACAATATGTTTTTGATGTTGTATAGTATGAAAAATTAATATATAGACTGCTCCTAATAACTAATATGGCTCTCCTTTTCTTGGAGGATGTTGTTACTATACCCTTGGGGAGACGAGAAAAGAAATGGAAGCCATCATATCTCTCTCTACTTGAAATCAATGGAGTACTATAAAGTCGAGATTAATGCTCTTGTAATCTTTTTTGTATATGACCAACTTAAGGATAAGTACTGGAGCATTCAAGGTAAGGGTAGCAATTCGAAATAGCTCATTTTTGTTGGATTTTTTTTTTTTGAAATATTATTACATACATCATATTCATGTAGTAATTTTGATAATAATTAACCTAGACAAGACAGCAAGGAACTTTCATGGCCAGGACGAAAGTGGAGTTTCCCAACTAGTGTCCCTCAAGCGTTTCGAAGATGCTTCAAATGGATTCCTGGTTAATGATAGCTGTGTGTTTGGAGTGGAGGTTTTTGCTATACGCAGTGGGAATAAAGGGGAACGTTTCCGCACCCTACGCGAACAAAGTAAAAGCGTCTACATTTGGACCGTGCAAAAGTTTTCTGAGTTGAAGGCAACAGGCCATTTTTCAGAACCCTTCTCTGTTGGGGGCTTCAAATGGTATGTATGTATGCATGGAACTTCATTGAACTTGATGAGTTGCATTAAAGAGAGAGAGAGAGAGATTTATTTTTTATTTATTCTGTTGTGTGTGCATGCAGGAGATTACACCTTTATCCCGAGGGTATCCCTAAGGCAAAGGGCAAGTATCTGTCTATTTACCTATGTCTACACGAGGAGTCCGAATCTCCTCCTGGTTCTGAAAAGAAAAAGCAGTATGAATCCCAACTTCCTTCTGGAAAGAGAATGCACGTTGAATTTAAGCTGTCTATAAATAATCAAGTCAAAGATAAAGAACCTAAGAAACTATCAGAAATAGGTGAGTATGTTTATATGGTTTTGTCCAAACATAATTTTCACCCTTAAAAAGAGTATGATAAGATGAAAGAATTGCTAATTTTTTTATATTCGTAACGACAGTGCTCCCACTATTTCTTATGCAGGGAAAGTTTGGTTTAGTGCCGTAGAGACTGCTTGGGGCTTCCCATACTTCGCTCATTTGGATTATCTAAGATGGAGAAGGAGTGACTTTATTTATAAGGATGCTCTGCTAATTGAATTGCAAATTATTTCCATGTCCCTGGATACTTCCCTATCTCCTCCATAGAAAATTGATAACCCATCACATGATCCTGGAATATATGAATGATACTGCCGGAGCAGGAGATGAGATGGATATTGACGTTCCAAGACAAATACCTGAATAAAGATTTTTCGCTTAATCATCAAAAGATGTCAACTAGTTTTATGTTTAGACATTGTTATACAAACCATTCCAATATTCAATTTAGCAATTCCCCAAATTATACACACTTCTTCAATTACAAAGGAAAAGCTCATTATTTACTCGTGAATTTTAGTTTATTATTAAATTAATCGTATCTACAATGTGTAGATAATTAATTTAACAACCTTAAAAAAATGTTAACTATACGAGATTGTCCGATCGTTCATAAAGAGTAAATATTTATAAATTTATTATTTAATATTTTTTCATGTGTCATTTGTGAATAATCAAAAATTTCAAAGTTGGACAAGATAACATTATCCTTCAATTATGTGCTGAAACAATAAAGTACAGTAAATCACATAATTAATAGTATTAAAAGAATTATTTTTTTTTTTCAATTTAAAAGTATAGGAACATCCAAATTAACAAGTAGTCACCCAGTCTTCTTGTTATGAAAAATTTGATGAGGATTGCTGTAGCTTGCTTTGACATGAACCCTCCAATGATTAGTACTATAAAAATGGTTTCTAGGTTATTAGTATTATTAACAAAATTCTCTAAGCATTGTGATCGAGTAAACATATAATGCAATTATCCTTAACATTTGATTTGTTTAAAAATTATTCTATTATTGGATCTACTCGAACACAATTTCATTAATTAAAATTAGTTATTAAGCAAGATAATTTTTTACATTTCAATTGGAAATTCAAAAAATGATCAAAGCGTAACACATAATAAAAATATTATATAGTGTGGTAATTAAATGGTGTTGTATCAATGAATTGATGTGTAGAAGAGTTTATTAATCTTACATATGAAATCTTCTGGTTGATGTGTAGCAAGAAACACATGGGGGGAGCTGTTGAATATAACTGCTGATGCGTTGCCTCTGAAGAGAGAAATCACTAGGAACAAGAAATCGTTGGGGCCAGCTGATCAGACATATACTTTTTTCCTGCCCAAGGTTTAAGAATCTTTGACCAGAAGGGTTAAAGAATTGTTAAGAGAAATTAAAGCACACAATGGAGACTAGATGGGGATAAAAGCAAGCTCAAACGAACTCTCCAATGGTCTCCCTGAAAAGTTTACACAGAAAACTGAATCCATTCCTACAACCGTACTGCAGGTGGTCATGAACAGGCAAGATGATAATGGAAAATCTTGTATTAACTCACCTAGCAATGAAATGGAAGGTGAATATCATCCAACTGCTCTTAACTACAAATTGGTACCTACATGTTTTAGCTTACTATCTAGATAATCTGCATGTGTGTGTATATGCCATTGGTATCAGGTGATAACTTAGTGAGAACAAAGAGAGAAGAGGCACCGGCACATTACATATTAGAAATCGAGTCATTTCAGAGGCTTTTGGAAATCCTCTCCAAACCCAGACTTGACAGATACGAATCAACTGAATTCGCAGTTAGTGGCCACAAATGGTGAGTTGTTTTCTGTTTTTTTTTTTTTTTGTCTTTTTTAAATCTCTTTTGAAGAAGGAGCTGCTATTCATTCCTTAGTATCTTGCAGGAGGTTGATACTGTACCCTAATGGAGACAAGCAAAGAAATGGAGGTGATTATATCTCTCTTTACTTGAGAATCGTGGACATCGGGAAGCTAGGCCCTGCATGGGAGATTGATGCTTTTATATATTTTTTTGTACTTGACCAAGAAAACAATCAGTACATAAGCATTCAAGGTAATGTTGGGTTCCATTGAATTCTTTGTCAACTTGTTTTTCTGAAACATGTATCATGCTTGGTAGTAATTTTTTTAATGAAAGCCTAGATGGGAGAGTGAAGCGATTCAATGCAGTGAAGAAAGAATGGGGATTTTCTCGACTGCTCCCACTCACCGAATTCCTGGATACCTCAAAGGGCTACCTGAGTGAGGAAGACAGCTGCAAGTTTGGAGTTGAGGTTTTTGTTCTCGAGAATAAAGGTAAAGGGGAATGCTTTTCCACCCTGGATAACCCCATCAGAAATTACTATAATTGGAAGGTTGAAAAATTTTCCAAGTTAGGGGAATCAAGCCATTATTCCGAGGGCTTCTCTGTTGGGGACTACAAATGGTTTGTATATATACCTCATAAAAAAAAAATAATTCTGTGCAGTGTGATATTGTAAATTGATGTATGAATGATATAATTATCTGCTGGGATGCATGCAGGAAGTTACACCTCTATCCTCAAGGTGTTGCAAAGGTAAAGGGACAATATCTATCTATTTTTCTTTGCCTACATGAACCCACGGAATATACCATTTTGACCCAATTGCATGTGGAATTCAAGCTGCGCATAATCGATCAATCTGATAAACTGAACTCTAAGAAAACGGAGAAGACAGGTGAGTTAAATCCATGATTATCATTAATTCACTAATTGCAGTTACACTACTCTTTTTTGTGTCTGAATTAATTGCCAATTCCAAGGAATGGATTTGTTTGTTATGCAGGCAACGCATGGTTTAGTGCCACTAAGCCTGCTTGGGGCTTTCCATACTTCATTAAGCTGGCTGATCTAAAACGAACCAGGGACTTCATTGTTAATGATGATATGGTTGTTGAAGCAGAAATTAGTTCCATGTCCATGGCCCAAGAGCTTACTCCTGATCCTCCACAACCCAGGAAGAGGGACGACAAAAGACGATGATTGGCCACCTTAACTTTAATAGAGATACTTCTAATGTTGCAAGGTGTTAAAAGAGTGTTTTATGTTTTTAACACATCATTATGCAATTATTTTAACATTCAACAATTCACAATAAAATGCTAACTTATTGGTACTTTAGCCTACTTTGTGCGCAGTAGGGAAGTTTTCAATGGAAAATAATGTCTGCAGCAAGTCGAATGAATACACAGTAAAACACCAAGTCCTGCTCCTGTTGTTGATAGGAAACATCACATAATAATTGGTGATTAGAACAATGACAAAAACTGGAACATCTATTCTGCCCTATTCCAAACCAGTTATTCAGATTCAACCTGCTGATTGCAGACAACGTGGGTAACCACAGAACAAGAACATGACACTCCAAGGAAAATATTCTAAGAGTGTAATGTTTACTTGCACTGCGTTCTTTGCTACACCTGCCATCGACGAGTCAATTGGTATGACAAAAGTTATAGGTCGGATGTATGTTGAACCAGTTGACTTGGGGAACAAGTTGGTGCAGATTGGGTTGTCTAAACAGCAATTTTTTAACTCACAATCGGGAAACAACCAAAGAAGCAATCACCCCCAACTACACCAATGCAAAAATTAGAACTTACATTTCTCGAAATATTCTTGTTCATCAACAGACTAGACCTGTCTGCAAAACTCAATTTAAGGAAAACTACAAGGTCCCATTGATGGGAATTTTTAAGTTATTTGATACCTTTATTTGCATCTCATATTTTACAATGGACACAACTCATGGAACGGCATGAAGCTCCCAGCCAATGGCACTTACTGCTTAATTAAGTTTCTAATAACATATGGAAGTATACCACCATTGTTGAAGTAGGCCAATTCAACCTGCAATTGAAACCACAATTAGCTTTTGGTATTATAGGGCTCGTGCTCAAAAAACCAGGAAAAATGTATATAACTGAAGAGTTGAATCTGAGATAAAAGCTTTTATCTAAACAGGCAGCATTTAAAAGGGGAAAAAGAGGGAGAGAGAGAGATTCCCCATAAACATAAAGCTAATATAACTTAGCATGCTTAAAATTGATCTCACTACTCTTAACTGTAGCAGCAACATTAGTATATTACCCAGTGAATCACATCACAAGCATACGATTGATGAGAGCCTGGGAGTACAAGATAAATACTTGCAGTTTCCATTAAAACGTTACCAGGCATAAACATTGACAGTAACTGACAAATTGGAGAGATAATCACACAATTGCAGAAGATGAATGCCAATACTATTTTGCACGTAACAAGCAAATAATTGAAACCATTTAGTACCTCAGTGTCGAAGCGGACAGTGCAGGTGAAACACTTGCCGTTGTCAGTTGTGACGGTCACATCTTGGCCAGGCCTTATATCAGTTATATTGCTTGGGAGATCTATGGTATAACGCTCGTGCCCGGTCAAACCAAGTGTGTCTGCATCCTCACCAGACTTGAAACAAAGTGGAATGATGCCCATTCCTACCAAATTACTACGATGGATTCTCTCAAAACTTTTGGCAATCACTGCTTTTACTCCCTGAAATACAACATAGTTACTCAGGAGGACAAAAAAGGGCAAGTGCATCTGAAGACCAATGATAACTTCTTTAATGTGGCCAAATCAAGACTTACCAGTAGCATTGGACCTTTTGCAGCCCAATCTCGGGAGCTACCACTTCCATACTCAGCTCCAGCCAAAACAATGGTGTCATGTCCTGCAGCCTTGTACCTCTGAAATTACAGGTTGATTGTACAGCTTAGTATTTAATGATACCGGGTGCTGATTAATCATACTTCATACCAAAACAAAAATTGATTGTACAATGGTCAACAGTTAATTGGTTACCATTTTTACTTAACAAAAGTTCTCTGTATTGAAAAATAGAAAACGAAAGCACTGCTAAGAGATCAAGATTTGTTCCTATTAAAATAACAAATCAGTCTTATAAGGAATCGCAGTGGACTTTAACAATGAAGAACTCACCATTGCTGCATCAAATACATAGTGTTTTTCTCCTGTAGGGACATGCACAGTCTTCGGGCCAACTTCCCCATTCAACAGTTTGTTCACAAGGCGAATGTTAGCAAAAGTTCCCCTAGCCATCACTTCATCGTTACCACGACGGCTTCCATAAGAATTGAAGTCCTTGTGTTCCACCCCACGTTCAAGTAGGTATTTTGCAGCAGGACTGTCCTTATGGATGCTCCCTGCTGGAGAAATGTGATCTGTTGTGATACTGTCACCAAAGTTCAGTAAACAGTAGGCATCCTTCACCCCATGGGCCCCAGGAGGCTCCATGGTCATACTCTTGAAGTATGGAGGCTCATGAATGTAGGTTGAGTTGGGGTCCCATGAGTACATGGTGGAAGATGGCACTGATAGCTGATTCCACATGGGAT